TTAAATGTGAAATGTGATGATGACAAACGAGAAACCCAATATCCAATAGAATATGATGATGAAGAGCCGAACACTGCAGAAGATGAACTGGTCAGTTGGTTACAGGAGCAATTGGCAAGTGTACGGTCATTGGTGGAGATATCTCGTTTGCCGTTTACTACAGTATTGAGATTATCCTAAAGTGAGATCTATTTCACGATATTAACGAACAAATGTAGTGGGAATGAAGAAAAAAGAATGCACAAAAGACAAGAAGTACAGGACAACAATAAGCGGACAAGAAACAACAACAAGGACATGAAATAAGGATGTAATAAACGATATAATTGGTGTGAACAATAGGTGAATAAACGATGAGACATATTTAATAAAATACATTTATGAACACAAGTAATGTAACAAAATGAGTAGTTGTGTCCTGTGCATAGCATCATTGCGAAAAGAGAGAGAGAGAGAAGTGTATGCATGGTTATATTTCCTTTTTTGTTAGCTTACGTAACTACATGCTTTCTCTGTGTACGGCAGAGTACAGACAATAGAAGTGAAAGTAATAGAAAAGACTAATTTAATAATTTCTTTTATTATTTTTCAGCCGATGATTTAATTAAAATGTTTCAGGAAAACTTGCCAGTACTAATTAAGATGTCCTCGGTGTGAAAGTTAGGGATGGATTCGATTACTGCCGAATTGGCACACCAATACAGAGCTTCTTCCAGGATAGATTGATGATCTACAAATCTTTTATAGCGGTGGACATCTTATATAGATATTAGTTGATTCAGCGATGTGATTCTATATACATTTAGGTTTGTTTGTTTCAATATCTATCCCAATATTGAAAGCACCTATCTTCCAGGGATATTTCGTTCATAGAAAAAGAGAAGAATGCATCAGTCCATTGAAGATGTCGACAGATACGTTTCAAGGAGATGTGGGTGTGGATAAATAGACCAAATGATAGGTGTACTCATTCTGTATTCAAATGGACAATGTTGACTACTGTAATATGTTGTAAGGTATTTGGTATGGATGTAAATAACAAGAACCCACACCACACACCCGTACCTTTGCGCAGAGAAAGTCCGATAAGCAACTACAGAATGGTGCACCCTGTTGATTGTTGTTAGTTGGTTTTTTCCAACTTCCAACACACCGCGCTGAGTCAATAGTCAGGTGAGAGAGAACTGATTAGTAATGATTGATAATGGTTTTGTAAAGAACAACAATTTCATGCGCGCTGTGCAGAGTAACTAACAATATTATTAATGTGTACTTTAGCACGTTCATATTTAGTTGGAATTTGTTGTCGTTCTATCGAAATTTGAGTAAGTATCTGCTTTGACAAAATGATCTATATAGGACGCCTGTCTTTATGGCATATTACTGTTAAAGCGAGATTTTTATTGTCAGTTCGCAGAGGACTATTGTACTTCTCGATGGAGAAATAAGCAAGATGAAAAGAGAATCTGTTCGAAAGTTGTGCATGTAACGAAAGCTTGTGCAATATCTTGCGCAAAAATGTGACAATGAAGGAAGTTTTTATTGTTATGCAAAGAACAGAAAGAATATAGTCCAGTAGAAGCCATGACATTCTATTGTGATGTGTANTCGAATCATTGGCTAACGAATTACTACTTCGTCTATTCGAATATCTCCGTACGGATCATCTTATTCATGCATTTCATGATCTTAATTCTCGATTTAATTCTCTTCTGTTTCGTCATTTTGTTGTTTACGGTATCGATTTTCGATCGTTATCCTTCAATGATTTCCTTACAATCCGTCGAGAATATCTTTCAAGTTTGATCAACAAACTACCTTCATTATATTTATCAGAGTGGAATTCTCTTTGTCAACCACTGACTCCATTATATTCTTATGGTTTTTCGCTGGATCAATTTGTTCAATTAAAATTACTTTCATTGAGTGATCTTTCACATCAACAGATAATGAACAAAATCAAGTTAGCACTACCACATTTAATCAATCTCACCCATCTAACACTCAGAGTTTGTTGTTTGCCAGAAGATGAAGGTGAGGATATATCAGCTGCCCTTGCTTTCATAAACTGTATATGGAGTCTACCGAAGCTCACTCATTGCTATTTTGATCAACTTTGTGTGGGTGAATCTCATGATCTCGTCTTCATAGAACCAACTATGACATCATCAAGTATTACACATCTGTCAATTTTGGGTCTTAATGATGATTCTTTTAAACTAGCTCGCGTGTGTAAAAGCACACCAAATCTTCAACACTTCTCGATATCCTTTTTGGGTGAGGGTGTTAGTATATTTCTCACATCACCCGTTCTATCAATAACTTCTTTCGAGCTGTCGTTAGCTACTGGTGATTGTAATTTATGTAACATGTTAAAATGGCTTCCCAATATTTGTCGATTGAAAGTGAATGGCATAGAATACATCAGTGGGCATGAATGGGAAAACATTATTTCTAATCATTTACCAAAACTGAAAGTATTCCATTTTGGTATGCTACGGCGCTGCGAAAGAAATGAAATAATCGAAGAACAAGTTGATAAATTACTCGATACATTTAGAACTCCATTTTGGCTTGATAAGCATGGTTGGTTTGTGCGATGTGAATGGAGGCTGAACGCATCATTCTTCTATCTATATACTTTACCATACGGTTTTAGCGATTTTGGAATAAAGTGTCCGTTATTTTTTAAATCGACTTGCCTTCAAGAGAAGGACCAACAGTCATATGATGCTGTACGTACCTTAATATACTCTCGTGAGCCTGAAACATGCTCCCAACCATCTAATATTCAGTTTAACAAACTAGAAACATTGGAAATATATGCTCCTATCTGTGATCATTTCTGGTCAATGGTTCCAACCTTCGATCATTTAACTTCATGCAAGATATTATNTCCTTATCTCATATATTTTAGACCAAAGATAAGTGACTGAATTTACATTTTTGAAAATATAGTGTTTTTTTTATATAAATGTTTTCTTTATTAAATATAAACTAATGAAGATTTTTCATTTAAAAAGAAATAACGTTGTCGAGTACATTTACTCTACATCATATTGAATATGTTTATTTTAAAAGATCTTACCACACACAATCCTTTATTCATTATTTTCATTTTTTTTTGCTATAATAAATAAATTCTACTTAGTATATTTGAAAATAAAAATAATATATTAGGCAGAAATTCGAACATAGACAAACTAATGTGCCAATTAACAATATTGTATTTATGTTCTATAGACACGTTCGCACTGTAGAATCGTTCTATTTAGTTTTTTTTTCAATTGACTATGGGAAGAATCAAATTAAGCAACGATAAACCAATGGTCATTGATGATAATGAAATAATTTGACGCGTGATTTTTTTTATTCAAGAATTGAATAGAAAAAAGGAACCATGCAAGAAGAGATGAGAAAGAGACAAATACATAGAATATCTGAAGATCAATGATCAACCACACATAATGAAGCAACTATCAATGCATTAAACTAGAAGATTTTTCGTTCAAGTTGCAGACAAAGTGATTGTTGTATCTGGAGCCGTAGTATCAACCATTTTTATAGTCGTCATTGAAGTTGTAGGGGTATCCGTAGTATCAGCCACTGTTGTAGTCGTCGTTGAAGTTATAGGAGCATCCGTAGTCATTGTTGTAGTCGAAAGCAAAGTTCTTGTTATTGTGGGTGCCGTGGGTAGCCGGTTCTCAATATTAGACACTACCTCTTGCAGTCCATCTACCTGTTGGTTTAGATAATTGAATCTTTTGTTAAGAGTGCCAAGAGTCGCAGCTGCAAGAGCAAAAGTAATTATTACAAACAGACCCATTATAATCAATCCGATTTGAATACGCCTGTTGCTATGTTCTCCGAAAGCCATTACTAGTTTTCTTTTTTGCTATAGAAAAAATTTGTGGATTTATCGGATAAATATTGTGACTTTTAACAATTTTTTTTTTATTTCGAATACTAACAAAGCAGATGCTTCTATTTATATAGGTAAATGAATCCAAAACAAATGCCAACATTGAATAGGTGTAGCTGTTAAGATAAGAACACTTTTATTAAGGTTAGTTTTCATTAGTCAAGTAAAAATTGTTGCAAGGATACAAACACAATTTTTCTGTTATCTCGATTATTCACTAATGGACTGCAGTTTTATTTTTTCTTGAAGATATTGGTAAACCCTTTTTTGTTTTTCTGCTTTATATGTATCGATACATAAGCTTTCCGGGAGATATATAGCGAAGCCTGTGAGAATGGAAGAATATTACATTATTGTTGAAGTCTACAAATTTTGTATCAAACTCCAAGTATTCCAATTTATTTTTATCGACTGGCTGCTATAGTAAANTTAGTTTTCGATTTGTGGATCTTTGTGGGTCTTCGCATCTTTTACAAATACCCGATTATTCTTTACCTGATAAATTACATAAATGAGTGTACGAAAGAGAATTGTCAAAGGCGAGGGTGTGAATGTCGGTGTGGGTGTAGGTATAGGTTGGATCTGAGTCTGGGTGTGTGCGAATGGATATTGATGTGAATATGTGTATAGATTAGGAGGAGACCCAAAACGTGTCCTGCATACGTTCCACATTCACACCCTCCATTGCTTCCAAGAATCGATCTATCTTTCTCTTTAGTTTCCGGCAACGGTGCCGGCAAGTTCTGTTCACTTTCACTCGGTTGCGCTCGATTTCGACTGGACAAGAATTAGATGGAAAATAGCATTGAAGTGATGCTTCTTTGATATTATGGCTGATTGTAATCAATATTAACAAAGCTTTCATATTTAATTAGAGAGGCTTCATCGTGCTTCATGCCTTAATTTCGCGAATATTAGTCTGAAGCTTTTTCACAAGTTAAGAAAATGATAAACATGTCATGCGTTATAAAAGACGAAATCGAAAATCAAAGTCTTTATGATGTTCTATAGTTATGTCTGTTTAGAAGGGCATTTTGTGGACATCATTGAGATGTTTAACATTGTCCGATACTGTTTCTTAACATCGTTGTTCGGAAGATTCTGTGATTCCATCCGAACATACAGAATAAAATAGATCATTTGAAATCAAACCAAGGGTTTGTATCGAAAAATCAATTGCAAGATTTGTATCTTTAGCAAAAAATACTTCATCATCATCCGTCCATGAAAAGGCTACAGTCGAACGATTGAAAAGAACTTCAGCTTCTTTATCAAAAGTTTGGAGTTGGATCGCATCATAGGTACTATTTTGACCATTCGACAAATACATAACATTGCCAGAGAGAATAAATAGTTGTTGATTCTCTTGAAAGTAAATCGATTCCTCTGGTTGATTCCAATAGAATTTTGCTCGCTTGTGCAAAAGTAATTTTAGCTGTAGACGATTCAATTTCAAACGTGGCTGATAGTGATTACTCAAGACATGTAAGGCAATTTCGCGATAGATCGAAGGAGCTAAATTTTCATCGTTTAAAAGCTGATTCAATAATGTTGCATCTATACGGTATGCTTCTACAAGTCCACCACAAACAGAATAAGTAGCATGTGCTACACAATTTTGTGAGAATAAGGCATCGATACCCACAATATTGCCCGATCGGTAATGGATGGGCATCGTATCAACTTTACATTGAACAATACCTCGAGCAATAAGATAGGCATTGAATACTCTTTGACCTTTTCGAAGAAGAATTGTGCCCGGTTGAAACCATTTATGCTTTGCTTTCATAATCATTTGCCAACGTGCTTTTTCATTATTTGGTAGTGATTTAAAGAGTAGCAATAAGTCAAACGCATTTTCAATCGCTTTCACATGACCTTTTGGCATTCGAACACGATAAAATTCGAGATCAAACAATTTATTTTCGATTAATCCCAATATATAAGAATATTCCTTTTCGCCAAGCATTCCTGTTTCGTAAATTTCAGTAATCGTCTTCGATTCATATTTGAGTAACATTTGAGCAGATCGTTTTGTCATGTGAATTCGCCAACAAATTTCATATGATTGTTTCAGATCAAGAAGCATGCTGATGGCAGTGACATGATATAAATGAGTTTCTTGGAAAACTTCATGCCATATTCGTTCATCAATACTAGCCAATTCAGGAAATTGCATTCGAAGATTATCCATACGAGTTCGAGCCGAATAAAAAGCTACACAATAATCAAATTGTTTTTCAATAGAACAAAGCAAATGCTGTTGTTCGATAACTTACCGAGAATCAATTCAATGGTGAGAAAGATATGATCAAACAATAATTTATTAAATTGTTTGGTAATCCAATCGATATAGTCGAATCGCATGAGATTTAACAGCCATTTTGACAAGCGAAAACTTTTGACAATCAATCTCCAATGAAGTTTTAATGAATGTTGATGTTTGGCTTTTTCGACTGATTTAATTAGTATGTAGAGTGTTCGTCGACGAATCATTCCAATATACCATTGTTTCTCGTAATCAACTGACAATGCTGTGAGAAAACGAATAGTTAACTCGTTTCGAAAATTATCATTTTTTTCCTTATCATCTGGTCGAAAATCGATCATGGACAATACAACATCTTGGTGAGATATATCCTGTTGATTCAGCATGACATTGATGGGAACATAATCCATTTCATGTATGTTCGGAATTTCTTTTGGTTCAATATCTGTTATCGTAGTTGTTGGACATGAAGTTGACGATGGACTGCAAAATGAATCCGATGTAATGGAAAATCGTCGATAAACATTAGTTTTTCGTTCTGAATCCATTTTTTGAACCAATTTTTCCGGTAAATATTCGTTGAGCAGATTCCAATCAACATCAGAAAATTGTTTCTCTTTTTTCATCTTGTGAAGTTGATTCAGTGTTAGTTTTCGCATGTGTATAAGAGCTTGTAATAAAACGGTTTCACTTTCTGGTGTACCTAGAAAAGGAACATGTTTTTCAAAGTACAAAAGTCTTCCTAATTAGTGAAACACAACTAAATAATTTCAGTTAATCATTCGAATATCTTTCATTTTTATGGAAACCAAACAGTTCATTGCAAGAAACTATAGATTTCAGGAATTTTTGTGATTCATATATGCTATTCCAGAAAATTTTAAAGTGCTATGAAAGAGATGTTGAACAAAGGTATCAAGTTATGTCGTTACTAATTAGTAGACTTTATTGTCATTTTATCAAGATGAATCGGTTAGAAAACATGAACTGATTATAACAATTATTTTAAATTGATTTAGAGTTTCTATTGAGTTTAAATGAATTGAAACGATGAAAATGAAAGAAATCTATCGTTTTAGAACGAAATATTTCATTAGGGTTAAGTCGTTTCAATCTGATTTTCTTTATTGTTTTTTTTTAAAGCTTATTTCCTTTCATAATTGTTTTTCTATCAGAAATAAAGCCTCAAATAGTAAAATGACGTATATGTTACACAATATTCAAATTACGTAGAGATATTTCATCTGGAGCTGAATAATAAGTTGAGTATATTCCGGTATGAAATTGCACTATGCGTAGATTTTATACTACTCAAATGAAGATCAAGTTGAATCGAGATACTGAAGATAAATTTTGATAGTACTCCAGTGATGAAACTTGAATGGTCAAACAATGATTTCTTTTTTTTTTATTCTGATTTCCATCATCTCATCAACAGTAATCACTCTGTATCAACGAGCCACTTGCTACGTGCTAGATAGTAATGATTAGTAAAAAAAAACTGAACTGAACAAGTCAATAACGAATGAAATTAGTTAAATTCATAGGACTGTATCTTTATGTAAACAAATGCGTATACATACCATGATCCAAACCGAGAAGTCTAACTAAAAACTTGCTACTTGTCCCGTTGATAATCAGTGTGAGAAGGGCAATCATACATATGTGGAAAAGAAGACGATGTCTCGTTGTGATATCAATATGATTGTCGGAATTAACAATCAAAGCTAAAATAACGGACATACTTCCTCTTAAACCACTCCAAGTCAAAATTGTATACTCTTTCCAAGATAGATGCACACCACTCCAATGTATTAATGGACTGACAATAAGAACGGACAATAGACGTCCGACATGTAGTGCAATGTACAATACAATAGAAAATCCGAAATCAAGTGCAACAATAGTTGCTTTCGTACCAACTAGTGATTGGGCTAGAATGATTCCAGTAATCATAAAAATAAGAATATTGGCAAAATCGATAATGATACGCCAGGTATTGACCATCGGAATTTGCACACGACTACTGATACAATATTTATGTTTAGCCATAAAAAGTCCCATTACCACCAGTGCGAGTACAGCTGAAACACCAAGTTCAACATCAGCAACGTAAAAAATCAAATATGCTAGACCAAAAGTCGATATAATTTCGACTTCGAGTTCATTATTGATGCGATTCAAAACGATCACAGCAAGTATGCCGCAGGCAAAGCCAAAAGCCGAGCCTCCTAGAATAGACGAATTCCAAATGCTATCATCACAAAGAACAATTATAATCAAGTTTTCGTTTACCGATAGTGAATTTAACAGTATCAATAACAACTTTCTGGGCACTATCACATCGCCCTATGATAATATCGCGAAGGATCATGAAGATGACAAAGGCGGAACCATCATTTAATAACGATTCGAGATCGATTAGTGATGCTAATGATATACTCGCCCCCGAAACGTGTAATAATGCCACAACAGCAACAGGATCTGTTGCACTTAGAATACTTCCAAACATAAGAGCAACTAGCCAAGACCAATTGTAAGGAAATATATAAACGGCAACCACGGCAACAATACTAATAGAGATCAACACGCCAGGACCAGCTAGAAGTATAGCCGATAGGATTTGTGGTTGAATAACATAATACTGACTGTTAAAAGACGAATCGAATATAAGCAACGGTAAAAAAATGTAATAAATCATATGAGGATTGATTTCTCTCAATTCTTTTTCACCAAGTAAAAAATCATTGTCCATTACATCAATATGGGCAATAATAAAACCGATTATGAAGCCAAAAATGAGTACGATCACTGTAAATGGGACAGGAAATTTATTTTTCAATATTTGCGACAGTATCGATTTGCAGATACATGCGATCAAGACAGCAAATGATAAAAATAAAATCACTGTACCAACTGCATGTACTTTCCCATCATGAGAACTAATCGTGCGATTATTGATTTCAGTCATCTAGAAATGAAATAATAGTTCGATTTCTCAAAACGATTCATTTTTGAACTCAGCCAGCAGAATCTCATTGCCAAATACCGATATTCGATAGGAAAAAAAACACAAACTTCATGTGCCCGACACATTTCACATGGTCGTTCTTTGACATCGGTATCAGTTTTCTGCAAAAGAGATAATACATCAACATTACCGACAGGGTAAAAAGTAATGGAAAGAGAAAGATTAATTGTCGAGAGAACTATCTATAAAATCGAATGCAAAATATTGACTTTGAGAGAACAGACATAAATATAAATATGTTTTATCGATTACTATCAACTAACACTACGAAATAATGATAATACATACATCAAAGCAAAATATGATTCAAGATCTATCAAGCATGACGCGATTAGTAGCAATATATATTATTTCAGCGTGTGTTTGAGATAGAGAAAGAACAACATTCACGTACACGAAAGACACGTGGAATAAAAGCAAGAAGGAAAAATCTGTTGTTTTTTTAATAACAAATATTGTAGTTGATTGTTGATCATTTCCATTGGTTGTCGATTGTAACGATTTTTGCCGTTGACTTTCTATACATAGAAATCATTTTCTCCTTATAAACGAAGAATTTATGTAGTCATAACAAATGGTCGAAAATATGGGCTAAAAGTCTAATTCACAAGAGTGGCATTGTTGAAATGTGCGCAAAAAACTGAGTATTATCCTAAAATATCAGCGTGAGGTATGGTGTAGTTCCAAGCAAACATTTTTGAAATACTATTCCCTGCAAGAACGATTTTTTTTCGCTGTTTTTTCTTTCGTTCTATCAGCTACGATATAATATATGTTTACCACATTCATCATCTTATACACGTAGCGATAAGACGTATTCTCTTTCGTTTCGTAACTATACTTTCTTCTACTTTTCTATTACTTGTACGGGCCGATGGCCGCAGAACAAGTTCCGCTTGATGGTTTACAAATAATTAGGAAACAGGCCGATTTTGATTATTGGTTGAAGCAAATGAATGATGATGTTCATTTTATGCCGTTTATGATAGAAACGTACAAGAATCAACAATTAAACGTACAATTAAATGAACAAAAAAAATGATAAGATGACTCATCGTTCACGTTCTTCATCTATTCCATCTTCATCTCCTGGTCCACTTCAACAACAATCACGACATCTGTCGCGATTGACTGACAAGCCAATCGTATCATCGTCCATTCAACATCAATATCAGCTGATCAATAATCAAATAACAAAAACACATACTGATATTACAATTGTTCCACCACCATTATCAGCATGTAATCAAACATCGTCAACACCACGACGACCATTAGATGAAAGTAACTCTTCTGAATTTCAAGTACAAAGTCGAACAAAAAAATCTCGTCCACATGAACCAACACCAACAAATGTTAATTCTAATAATAAAACAACAACAACAACATCATCATCATTAACAACTGATCGTCAATTTTGTTTCTCTTCAGCTCAATTAAAATATGCAATATCTAATAATTTACGATGTTTTTATTTGAAATTTAGTCTTGATGATGATCCTGTTCAACAACATAAATTACCATCTGCTATGAAAGTGGCTTCATGGATTCGTCAATTGATACAACAACAATCAGCTCAATCACTTGGTGATTTTTCTCTTTTGGTCCCCGCAGGTAAAAATCGTTATAAAGTTGGTGTTACAACAAAAAATGACTTTTTGTTGCTTTGGAATTGTAAGTGGCCAAAAGACATGGACAAAATTGATATTGAAATAGAAAGACCTCGAGCTTTGCCTGATTCCTGTGCAGTAGTTATACGTTATGTACCAGCTGATTTACCAAGAGAATTCGTTATTCAGGAAATATCAAGATCAATTAAATCAGCTATACAATTTTCAAAAATTAATTATCACTGTCCTAGATCCACAGATGATTTAAGATTTTGTATTACAGATGAAAATGAATATGAAGAGGTATTAAGTATTGGTCGTTGAGCTATTGGTCATGTACTTTTACCCATAACTGCATTTATACCTGGTCTTAAAATGACCTATTGTAATAATTGTTGGGCGTTAGGTCATACTCGATATCAATGTAAAGTAGGTCCACGCTGTCGAAAATGTTTAGATTTATGGAATCTTAATCATACATGTCAAAAGTCAGTATTATGTGCTCAATGTCAAGGTCCTCATGCTTCTCTTAGTATGGAGTGCCCAGTAGTTTTAAATTATTGTCGTACTTTAAAAGAAGAAGTAAATAATGCAGTTAAGGATGGGCGGTTAAATCAGGTCAAGGTGGATAATAAAGGTGGTGCATGTAATAGTGGTGAATTAGATTATCCAGCACTTAAACCTAAAACAAACAAATAAACCACGTTTAGCGTGGGTAGGTGTAGAAGCAGCATCAAGTAATTTACAAAATTTTCAAGGAACAGATCATTTGGGTGAACTTGTTACACAAATGAAAATGGTCCTAGAAAGTACACGTAGAATAGAATTAAAACTTGATAACCAGGTTATGCAAATGGATTTATTAGAAAAAAAATCCTTTATAAATAAACAAGCTATTTTTGGTTTAGCAAATATTATGCAACAAATGATCAATGCATCTTTAGAAAAGAAAAACAAACAACTCCTACTACAAAAGATTGTTCAACAAATTGAAGAATTTAAAGATGACCTTATAGTAAAATTTAATTCACTTTCCGTTGATATTGATCATCAACAACAACAAGTTGAATTAACATCAGAATTACCACCTTCAATTCCTCTGAATAGAACGACAAATCAAACAGCAATAACATCGATTAACAAAGGTACAAACGTTTTGGTGGATGATGAACAGTTGATGGAAATAACTGATGCTTAGTAACAGTAACTTTTCCTTGTTAAATGTGCATGTTTCGTCGTTTTTTCCACTTCAACCTTCTCCACATTGTTCATCTTCATCTGATGTAATAGGCACCGTGATTCAAAAGGTCAATGGTTGGGGTTTCTCTTCTAGTATAGTTCAACTCATCATTGAGACTATGAGTGAATGGTATTCAGGAAATACACTAAATGGTATTTTTAATCTCTGGGAAAAGAAAAAAACCCCGAAGTCATGTCAACAATCTTCTCTAAATGTTCTTGTATATAATGTTCAAGGGTGGGGAACAAGAGCTTTAGAATCAATTGAATTAATATTTAAATCGGACAGTTCTATCTGTATTTTTACAGAAGTTGGAGAACTGTGGAACAGTTTTACTATCCCCCATTTCAATATCCTTTATCAAAGAGGTACAAATGGTAAAGGTGGTGTGGTGGTAGCGGTAGGAAAACACCTTAAAGCAACACGAATTGATATAAAAACAGAGAACACTGTGATAGTGGATATTGATGGTCTAACTGAACCAGTTAGGGTGATCGGAGTCTATTGGCCTCATTGCCAAAATCGAAATTTAGATGAATTATCACCCTTCATAACAGGGAGAACGGTTTTAGCTGGAGATTTTAATGATTCAGTTTATGAATGGAATAGTCCTTCCACTGATGCAAGAGGTCTTCTCTTGAAAAGATGGATAGAGAAAATGAACTTGATTTTTATACCTGGAACAAAAAAAAATTCATCCAAACGCTCTGCACGACATATTGACTTTATCTTTACGAATGTTGCTGATGCTAAGGCAGAAACCTTGTAATTAGGATCAAGTGACCATTGGCCTATGGTCATGAAAAGTGACCAAATAGGTATTCTAACAAATGGCCATTTCCCAGTAGTGAATTGGAAAGTGTTCGAGGTGGTGTTGAGTCTGTTGCAAGAGCTTTGGATAAATGAATCAAAAAGGCAAGATGCCGATAGTTTGTATCAGAATTATGTTCTTTTTTTCGCTGTATTGAAGAACAGAGTGACTAAGTGGAGATACAAGGATAAATATCGCCCCTCCCTCTCACCGTATATAATTGTTATGCTGAAAGAAGTTCGACAAGTGCGGAATAAATACTATAGAGTGTGGGAAAAGAGTGGTGGTTTGGTTGATGATGATTACAGGAAGTTGTTAAGGATGATGACTATATTTGTTAAAAACGAAATAAATAAATATAAATCAGACCGTTGGAAAAGCTTTCTCTCGATCATACAAGACTCCTATGATGTACGAGGGAATGCCTTCTGGTCTCATCTATCAAAGATTTATAAGCCGAAAACTCTCCCTCTATCAAAATTAGCTGTTGGATTAGGTACTATAGCTGATCATCAAGAGGTAACGAGGGCGCTTTGTGATTATTATACAGAACACGCTAAAACTCCCCTCATAAACAACGATGATAAACACGATCGTGAAGTGGAAGATGAATATAAGCTAATCGTGAATGATGTTACATCTTCCACATCGCTCAAGCTAGAACCGATCTCTGTACTGGAAATGCAAAAGTTGATTAGGAAGTTGAAGAACAAGAAATCATCCGGGTACGATGAAGTTTCCAATTATATGATCAAAATACTTCCACCAACATATATTCAATGCCTGATGANGCAATTATTATTCATGGATTAACTATTCGAGTTTGTAATCCAATGGCATCTTTACAAGCACGTGATTTACTTCCATTGATTTCATGTGCTGTAACAATGATTCTTTTTATTTTTTATATTGCTCTAGCAATGACAGTTTATACAAAAACAACATATGATGATGAAAAACAATGTTTTTTAAGTTCAAGTATATTGATGTTTTTCGTTTATTTCTTTTTAATTTTCATGTTTTGTGTCAAAACAAGTATTGGATATTTTAATTATGTACGATTCGTTCGTCTATTTCCTGAACCATCCCATCGAAATTTATTTATTATGCTTGTCATTTCATTTTTTATTTCGATTACATGGGTTTCTTTTGCAGCTGGATTTAATTCAAATCTATCATTTCAAATTACTCAACTATATCCATATAAATTGTGTTGGTTTACTCGTGATGTTATTTATTATTTTCTGACTATACCTGTGGGTGTATTTCTTTTAATCAATATATTCATATTTATTCGTGTAGCTCAACGTATATTGAATCATATTCAAAATGCAAAATCACCTCATCAATCATATGAAAGAATGAAACTGTGCATACTTGTTTTACTTTCATCGTGTGCTACTCAAGGTATTGGTTGGCTTTTTGGTCCATTTCTTACGTTTGTAAATGAAAACACAGCGAATGTTTTAGGATGGTTTTTTAATATATTTAATGGATTAGAAGGTCTTTGGGCTATTATTTTATATATGATAATTCGATCACAACGTTTAGATGAACGAAAACGTCTTATGGCCTTGAAAGAACTAACAGAATCAACCAGGATATCATTTATAAGACGTGAGAAAAGTCGCAAAAAGGATTCAAATCGCGAATCATTTGTTTTCGATGATCTATATGGGTTGGAAACCATCGACATGACGAATGCCAGTTGTTAGAAAGAATTATTGCCAATTGCAATCTTGACGTTATCTTTTCTGTGTGTGTTTTTTTATTTTACACTTAGTATTGATTGAATTTTTTTAAATCATATGTCGAGAACCTATAGCGCAATATAGGCTTTTTGAGCATATTTATATACTTAGTAGAATAGATTAACGGACGAAATTGATTATTTTCTATCTGGTATTTTTTTTCTGGACTACAAAGAAGAAAGAACTGACTTGAATACTACAAAAAAAAATATTCTTGGAGAGAATTGAAAATTTATACTGCATAATTCTATAATCTGCATAGAGAAAGACATGAAGATTAATAAAGATTTAGCGGCATATCTTGAACCGTAATATCATATATATGATTTTGTAGATAATTTTGTGGTACATTGAATAATTTTATAAGATATTAAATTTTATGAAAATTTTGATATGCTGCGAGTTCATAGACTGATTATAATCCTTGAGAAATATATATGTTATTCATAGACATTATGGTTTCTAAGATAAACTTATGCTAATTTCCTTCATATTTAAAAATGATCCTTTTTTGTCAGGCCTAGATTATTTGTTGACTAAATGAAATTTGCTGAAAAGTTGCACACCAGAGAGCTCTATATCTATTACATATAGCATCTTTCGGAAGAGCAGAAATTCATTGTCAACTTGCAAGAATGTTCCCTAGCATATCTCATTTTTTCTATATGAAGGGTCGATATATTCTCAGAATGTTTTAACAATACTCGATAGTTCTATAAAAAGTTATTGTGAATTAATAATCAGCACAATATCTATGATGAATTGACATAAATCTTTCACAAACGGAATAAGTTTTTAGGCCTCAGGATTCACGAAAGGAGATACAGATATGTGAAAAATTTTATTTTTGTAATGAACATGAGGTATTTATAGTCTCTTGTAAAACCAAACCCGTATACTAAGAATAAAAATTTGAACAAGCAAGAATTAAAACAATAGATATCTTTCCTATAACCATATGGCTGTACTTCCCTCCAGGAGTGTGAAGATCAGAAATATTTGTTCTCTTCACAAAGGAGTTATTTATCTGAGTTCATCAAACATGCTTATTGATACATTTCGCAAAGATTATAACCAGTACAGACATTTTCAGCCAATTAAAATTTTCATAAAACTTGATTTCTTATATGTATCATTTCATGTGCCGCAATTTGCTCTACAAAAGCACACACATGAAAGTTTGGTTCACGATAACCGACTAAATTCGATGGAACTCTCGACACCATCATCATAACAATGATCACTTTATTCAGCAAAATATTTTCTTGAATTAAATCCAAACATACGTTTCATATTAGACAACATTTTACTTTTTTATTTAAAAAAAAAACTATCGAACTAGACACCATATACTATACTCCATCTTCATCAACATGCAGCTTCATATTTATTACGATCATGCCCATTGATAATGTTATTTTAAATTAATAAAACTTTTCATTCTTTGTTTTTTGTCTAATACTACTAGCGACACATGTAAAGAGGTTGATAGCGTAAATTCTATTGGTATTTATTTGTTTCCAATAAATAAATCACTGCCACGTTTCATTTCATTTTAATCTTCATTACTATATTTATATAGAAGTTCATTCTTTTTTTTGCCACATCTGCAATTTAAAAAAAAAGTAAAACTATGGCTACTTATCAAGAATTTATCGCTCAAAATGAAGAACGTGATGGTGTTCGTTTTACATGGAATGTTTGGCCATCGACTCGTCTTGAAGCAACACGACTTGTTGTACCACTTGGTTGTCAATTTACACCATTAAAAGAACGTTATGATCTTCCACCGTTAAATTATGATCCTGTTCTATGTACAAATAAAACATGTCGAGCTATATTAAATCCATTTTGTAATGTTGATTATCGTGCTAAAATATGGATATGTAATTTTTGTTTACAACGTAATAATTTTCCACCACAATATGCTGGTATTAGTGAACAATTACAACCAGCAGAAATTTCACCACAATATACAACTATTGAATATACATTAATGGTAAATTATATTTATTAATATAATTAAAAACAAAAAATATCATTATATGATATTCTTTTTTAGCGTATGCCAGCTGAACCGGCAGTATTTTTATTTCTTGTTGATACATGTATGGATGAAGATGATATGACAGCATTAAAAGTAAGAATATTTATTATTTAGTTAAATTTGCAGAGAATATTGTCAAGTTACTAGAAATAGACCAGTCTGAACACATACAGCGAATTTTTTTTACGTTAGTTAAAGAAACATAGTTTCTTTTGTAAAATAATATAGTAGTATTGAAAACAAAAATGACGTCTATTGTTATAGAATATATGAAAACCTTTAAAAAATTCAAATCGTTTTGTGTTTGAGAAATCGCTATAAACATATGATCGAAAATAAGTAAAAATTTCATGATTACATCTTTATCTCGTGGCACTTATTCAGTACAGTTGATGCTGAGTCAACTACGGGAATAGTCTATGCAAAATCAGCCATAAATGACATACAAATTGCATTTATCTTTAGTATAGTTTTTTTCGCAGTTACGCTGTTATTATTTCGTCTGTATAAATCTGGAAACCTGTTTATCATGAATTATTTTTTTGAGAAATGAGTCAGTTTGGAGAATGATATTTGCGAAGGCTGTTATTTTCAGGTCGAAATCAGATGTTTAGTTTTGAAATCACTCATTTCTATTGTTGAAGTCTCGTTTAGAAAAAAAGGTTGTAACAGAAGTTAGTCGTCCTGGATAAATGGCTAAGCTATGACGTACACTTGTTCTCGCGGATAATCTTCGTCTACTGAGACCGCAAGAACTTTACGTCAAGCCAGGTTTCTGCCCAGAGCTACAGTTAGTATTAGCTGTAGGGAAGATAGCAGGCTAATGAATCTATCGCTAGACAGCACTCTATATCGCCAAGTAGCGATGAAACTGGTCTGATCGGTTTATATACTGAAACTTTTAATTTATAGTTAACACACGTAGATGACTAACATATGCCGTGAATTCTAAAAATATTGTTTTTTGTCTTGTCCGATGATCAACCTATTTCTGTATAACTTTTTGGTATAAAATTCATGACATTAATTAGAGATGGAACCAGTCCGATGCTTTGACGAACACCATCTCTGCCGAAAGGTAGTAGTATTTTTCGTAGCAGAAGCTGTCAGTTTCTGTTTTTTTTTTACAGACTAATCGTTAGAACTCGTCGAGTTGATTCCGATCCCGATGGGATCTACCCCACACATCTCAGGTGGCTCATCTGAGAAATGTCTGAGGTGCCCTAGTCACTGAATACAAAAAAAATGAAGAAAAGGATCTCGTATCTCCAGGGCGGCATCCTATTCCGATTAGAAAATTTCATTGAAAGTAGCACAATACGATAGTTCGAAAAAGTTTGTATCCAATAAGCTCTACTTATAGTTCTAATGAAGTTTTTACAATAAAGATCATATTATTTATTAGTTTATATCGAAAAAAAAAAGAAAAACAATTTTTCATATTACGAATGTATCAAAAATAACTCAATATAGGCAGGTAAAAATTTAAATATTTGTATTCATAGGAATCATTACAAATGGCATTAAGTTTATTACCAGCAGATGCTCTTGTTGGCTTAATAACATTCGGTCGTATGATACATATTCATGAACTTAACTGTGAAGGTATGACACGCAGTTATGTATTTCGTGGTACAAAAGATTATACAGCTAAACAAGTTCAAGTAAATTATTTGTTTATAAATATTAAAATGTTTCTTTTTAAATAAAAATTAATTTATAGGATATGCTTGGTTTAATGAAACAACAATCAAATCAAAGACCATTACCTGGAAATCCAAATATTCCACAACAGCAACAACAACAGCCTACGAATTTCTTTAGCAAGTAAGACATTAATTTTGATATCAAATTGTGTTTTATTAATTTTTTCTTTTTTGCCATCTATTAGATTTATTCAACCACTTTCGGCATGTGATATGTCATTAACTGATCTTCTGGGTGAACTTCAACGTGATCCATGGCCTGTACAACAAGGCAAACGTGCTTTACGATCAACTGGAGCTGCACTTTCAATTGCTATTGGTCTATTAGAAGTATAAAATATTTTCAAATGATGTCTTTTTATTTCTCGTTTTTTAATAATTTCTATTTTTGTTAGACTCTTTATCCAAATACTGGAGCTCGTATAATGTTATTTATTGCTGGTCCATGTACACAAGGACCAGGCATTATTATTGATGAAGAATTAAAACATACAATTCGTTCACATCATGATATTGAAAAAGATAATGCAAAATATATGAAAAAAGCAATTAAAGTATGATATATTTAATTTTCTTTCATCTCAGAATAAGATCCATATAGGTCAGTAGAGGAACATTGTCTCTATCAAAATGTATATGTATCTAGTTTAGCTTTAATTGTGAAATTTCAAAGAGTAGATAAACATGAGAAGAAAATGTTTCTGGCCTACATTAGGAGTGTTTTCTGTTTTTCGATTTGTATGGTTTCTTTCTAATAATAAGCATTTTTTAATGTTATGGAGTAGTGCTAATCGAATTGGAAATGATTTGAAAGCATAGAAGCGTGAGACAATAAGAAAAAATGTCTATCATATATTGTGTAATTGTTTCCAGAAGTCTGCTAAAAAGAACTTACCTGTTAGCAGCTCTAGTGTATATTATCAAGTTCTATTGTGTACCACTGAGATATCAATAGAGAACGCCACTTCCGTTGCATTCGACAACAATCATAATGTAGGCAGCGCTCAGTGACGAAGCCGGCAGGGGCTCATGAAGGAGCTTCTCCAGGTGTCGAATTGTTTTTCGATCGAGACAATGTTCATTTGATGAATGCTAGAGAGTAATAGAGAAGTCTAGAATGATTTGATTTTTCAGACCTTCGTTTTTTGAGATATCGAAATTTTAGTTGTTTTTTTTTCTCTCTCAGCTTATGTGAAAAATCGAGTTTTGGCTTCAGATTTTACATGAACAAAGTTCTCAATGACACTAATTGATTTTGAAACTTTTAGCTTTTATAGCATTTCTTTATTGAGAACTTTGTTCATGGAAAGCTTGAAATCGAAATTCGAAAGTTGATTTTTTTATTTGACTTGACGGTGACGGCAGCTTTCCGTTGAAAAACCTAGTAAAATTTCGAGACAGAAGGCTTGGAATACCAAACAATTCTAGACTTTTCTATTATTTACTAGTGCTCATCAAATAGAGATTGTCTCGATCAAAAAGCGATTTGACACTAGGAGGGGTTTTCTGGTCAGTTTCTCCGTAGTTCACAAAAGCCTAGTCTCGCTCGCTGTTGATGCTCCCAACAGTATGCAATGAATCTTGATAATCCATACACTTAGATAGAAGAAGTCTTTCTCTGCTAATCTGCATCTATTACATTTTGTACGTCAAAAATCTTATAATAACTTTTATCGTATATTTTAGTTTTATGAAGCATTAGCAAATCGTGCAGCTGTTAATGGACATGTTGTCGACTTATATTCATCAGCTTTAGATCAAACTGGTTTACATGAAATGAAATATTGTACGAATTATACAGGGTAATTTGATTCGCTGTTTTTTTTTGTAAATTTCTAAAATCAAAATTTAATTATTTAGTGGTCATATGGTAATGGGCGATTCATTTAATACATCATTATTTAAACAAACATTTCAAAAAGTATTTGCAAAAGATAATAAAAATGAATATCGAATGAACTTCGGTGCAACTATTGAAGTCAAAGTAAAACAGAATAAAAAAAAAAAACCTAATGATTATTATTGTTGATATCAATCCTGTTCCATTTAGACAAGTCGTGAACTTAAAATTTGTGGTGCAATTGGTTCTTGTGTATCCCTCGCACAACGTACAGCAAATGTATCGGAAACTGAATTAGGTATGGGTGGAACAAATGCATGGAAAGTTTGCGGTATTTATCCAAATTCAACATTATCGGTCTTTTTTGAAGTACTTAATCAAGTAAGTGTTTTTTTTTCTGAATATTTGGTTATTTTTTTCTTATAAAAATTTATTTATTTAATTAATAGCAAGCACCAGCACAAGCTTCACAAGGTGGTCAACGAGGATATGTTCAATTTATTACACAATATCAACATTTATCTGGATTTAAAAAAATTCGAGTTACAACTGTAGCAAGAAAGTATGTAATCAATTTCATGATGATACTTAAACTTCTACGATAGTTGTATTCAATTGTTCACTGAATAGAAAATACAGATCGATGTAATGTAGAAATATCAAAAAGGGAAAATATCGGAATTACAGTCGATGCCTGTAAAAATTAAAGTAACCAGTAGTAACAGTGACGAAGAATATATGATTGAGATTAACTAAAATGTTCAAAAAAATAACTACTAGACAATTAAAAATCTGTCATCATGATCACATTTGTTTGACATTCACCAGATGTACGTCGGCCATCATCGCCAGTTATTTCATTAATTAATTCACAAAAATAAACAGATCTTTGCTCTTGTCAAAAGATTATTGAAGTTCGTACATATCTCAAACGAAAACAAGTGCTTCAAAAATATGTCTTGTTGCTGTTCAATGTAAATTTGCAAAAAAACACTTACAGTTTTGAATCAGTTCTTAACTTTTTTTTTTTTTTTAATAATCTCAGTTAGTCTTTATTCCATATAATAATGAATATGTTTTAGTTGTCAGAATTTTCTGAAACACTCTTTTTGATTATTTTTCACAGTGACATTTTTTGTTTCTTTCGACGAAGTTATTAATTCATGCATAAGGGAAAACGATAAAATACCAGAAAATATATGAAGAAACAAAACAAAATTGGATTATGACTGTCACATTTAGATTGCTTTCAAATTACCTAGTCATAAAAAAAGAACAAAATGTTGACAACTTGAATAACAATGAAAATGTCATTGCAATACATCATACACATCATTTGTCTTACCAGTTAAAGAAAAATGTTTAAAATATAGACAAATTCAATTAAAGAAAGAATTCTTCTAATTAATATCTTTCGTTCAGATTCATATTTTTAAAGATTATTAGGATTTATTGCCAAGATAAATGTCTTTATAGGATTTTTTTAATCTTATAACAATAGACTCTAATAATCAATAAAACAAGTGCTTGAATAGAGATGCCATAAAATTTATTTCTAAATCATATTTCTTTCTTTTTTTTTTTTTAATATTTTAGTTTGATTGATACCGTATCAAATATGCCAACAATAACCGCATCATTTGATCAAGAATGTGCTAGTGTAGCAATGGCTCGTATTGCAGTTTATCGTGCTGATACAGAAGAAGGTTCTGATATTCTTCGTTGGTTAGATAAAATGCTTATACGACTTGTATGTTATATTGTTGTTTTTGTTTATAACTAAAATTATTTTTTAAATATTAGTGTCAAAAATTTGCTATTTATGAAAAAGATAATCCAGGTTCATTTCAATTAACAGATACATTTACTCTTTATCCACAATTTATGTATCATTTACGTCGTTCACAATTTCTTCAAGTTTTTAATAATAGTCCTGATGAAACAGCATTCTATCGGTAAATGAGATATATATATATCAAAAAGAAAACCAAACATGAATTTGTTTAAATAATTTGATTCTTTTCTCTTTAAAATAGACATCATTTACTTGTTGAAGATTTAACACAATGTCTTGTGATGATTCAACCAATTCTTTATTCTTATTCATTTAGTGGTCCACCAGAGGTAAATAAAAAACAAAGATTCCTGCTGCATAAGATGATCGCACTTTATTTGAAAGATTACTTATACTATTTTTTAGAGCAAATATTAGAGATAGAATAGCAATTGTTAGTGATATGACCAAGCATTAGGAATTAATATGTATATACCTAATAACACATACAATAGTTCTTTTTATTTACCAAAAATCTTAGCATTATTACTAGCTTCTGACATTTTTAGTTTTTATGATGTTTTAAAGTCTTCGATACTTCTCCTGAGGGCAAAGGAGAACATGCGTGCAACCCAGGCATTTTGTGTTATCAAGCGTCTATAAGTAAACCAATTTATTGTCCTCTGAATTCTGGTACATTATGATTAAATAGGTCATTTAATGCTTTAAAAAAAAGGGTCAATTTTTCGGTCCCAAAGGGTGAGTTCTTTCATAAATACTTTTTGAATGAAAAAGTTTCTGTCGATTAATAATAAGTTCATCATTCTCTATCATTTGACATATGTGAATCGTTTGAAAATGATTAATAAGAAATTTCGCTTTCATGCAGACATTGGGCGGGAGTAAGAGGATATGCAAAATTTTTGAATTCCCATAAGAGATTGAACATGTATTAAATCAAATAGAGTTCCATACTCAACTCACAATCAACTATTGAGAATCTAAATCTGTAGCAAACACAATGAAATAAAAGCTAATATTTGTAATAGTCTATTCCTGTAGCCTTCTCCAGGGATTCGAAAGCGAAAAGTATTCTTTTGTCATTACCGAAAGACTTATATATGTCAAATGATAGGACATGATGAATTTATTATTCATAGATAGATACTTTTTCACTTAAAAAGTATTTATCGCAAAATTCATGCACTTTTCTGTCCTTTCGAATCGAAAAATTGGCCATTTTTAAGGCATTAATTGACTGATTTGACTATTACGTACGTCAAGTCAGAGGACAATTCATTGTTATTCTTATAAAGGATTAGTAGCATACAATGTCTGAATTTCACGACTATTCGTCTTTACTCTAATGTTTTATCATACCACCTATAGCTGCAATAATATCTCTTAACTCGTAATGATTTCTCAGAAAATTAAAATTTGATGAAATTCTATATTCGCCACGAATTACTCTATAAAACTGTATAGATCATTTTTTCAAATGAAGGTTGATCAGCTTATACAACGGAGTCATCTTTTTAAAAATAGAATGGAAATTTTTTTTGTATTTGTGTTCTTTTTAGCCTGTGCTCCTTGATAGTAGTAGTATATTACCTGATCGTATTCTTTTAATGGATACATTTTATCATATATTAATATATCATGGTGAAACTATAGCACAATGGGTTAAGGCTGGTTATCAAGATTTACCTGAATATGAAAATTTTAAACAACTTTTACAAGCACCTGTTGGTGATGCAACAGAAATTCTTCAAAATCGTTTTCCTATGCCACGTTATATAGTTACTGAAGCTGGAGGATCACAGGTAAAATAAGAAAATTTTTTTTTGTTAAATATTTTTGTTTTATTTAATATTTGTTTTAGGCTCGATTTCTTTTATATAAAGTGAATCCATCACAAACACATACAAATTATGGATGGGGACAGGTAAAATAAAATTTTTTTTTGTTTTTATTAATATGAATATATCTTTTTTTGTATTGATTTAGGCTCTTGGTGCACCAATTTTAACTGATGATGTTAATTTACAAACATTTATGGAACATTTAAAGAAACTTGCTGTATCATCAACAACATAGAAAAAAACAATATCTTCTTAATTTTTAGTTATCTGTTATTTCATTCAATAAATCTATTCATGTTTCCGCTTGTTTGTTTTCTGTTGTTCTAGTAAATGTTAAAATCGTTTATCTCTCTCTTACATTCGTTTTTTTTTTCGATGAACTTATTCCAAATGAATGCTAGAATCTCTGTTATGGTTCATTTCAACTATCAATCAATATATTTAATTGATCGAAATAAAAACTGATTAAGAGTTATTATGATATATTAGAAATGTTGAACTATATTCAAATTTGATTCAAAGACGTTCTAATATAATAGAAAAGATGAGTCCGTCCGACGGTTTGAATTTATTCAATATATTCTATTCGATATTATCCTCAAAATTCTAAGCAAAATATAGAAGTGGAATGTGGTGATGATTAGAAAAACAGTTATATTGTCTATTCTATTTTCATCGTTTGTAATATATTCATGAATTATTTATGAAACTCATTCAAGATACATGACAAGTGTTTAGGCTTGATCAATATAATTTCTTACGTTCGAATATTTAATAATTTGTGTTATATATGATAAATATTTGCTAAATTGATATGTTCGAAAATTGAAGAGATTTTTCATGAAACTTTAAAAATATTTCGAAATATTCAGTGATAGAAATTGTTAACAATAAAAAAGAAAAAACTTTTGTTTATTTGGCATTCATAAAAATAATGAAAAGAAAAATCATCTATATACAATAATATTCATATAATTTAAAATATTAATCATCATCATTGAGTTGTATATGTCAATAATTAAGTTTATAACATCTTTGAATAATACTTCTATTAATATCGAAACTAAAACATAAATAATGATATCTCATTGTTTTACATGAACAATTATATCTATAAATCGTTTTATTTGTTTTTAATTATATGTATTTCTTATTTAATAATTATAATCTTCTTTTCTGATGATATTCTATGTGATTTCTTATTATAACATGCAATCTTAGGGTCTATTTGCTTTCTTTCATCATAATTCATCATGTGACAACAACATAAATAGACGATAAAAATATAAATAAATATATGTATGTTTATGTCTAATTTTTATCGATGCTAAAAAGCAATCATATGTTGCATATGATGAATAACCGCATAATGATTCTTTTTAACTATAGCCTGATTAAATGTTCTTCAAGAAAAGTAAACAGACAAAAAAGAATAGTCAATATTTTTATATCGTATTATTTGTTTAGTAAACATTGCCAGAACAAAAAAGTTAATATGTAGGACTATGACATTGAAGCAAAAAAAATTGAAGAAAAAAAGAAGGAAAGAAATGTGATACAATTGTTGAAGATTATTGAATAATATAAATAAGAAAAGATATTTGATGAAAATGAAAAGTAACAATCATGGAAGTTGATGATGTTGAAGAGTGATGAATAGATACACTTCTTCGTTCACAATGATGAATGTGCGTGCTTTTTTTTTCTATTGCATGCTACTCGAACTATGTCGATAGATGCATACAATCTGATTAAGAAATGAAAGCTTACATTATTTCTATGGGTGTTGCTTATTTTATTCTATTCAACCCCTCGGGCAATCATCAGTTACGATGTTTATAGTTGTACATCACAGCGATTTGTCTATTACTTTCTTTTTACTAAAAACTACAAATACGTTAATGCAAAATATTTTTCTTGTCTAATCTAGAAGCTAATACCTTCAGAGTGCTATTAATATGTTGGATGTACGGATGGAATGAAAATGACGATGATGGCAGAACTCTCATAATCAAATTTCCTACTTCATGAACCACATGTCGGCTTGCGCTTGTCTCTTCTTTCAGTACAACAGTCAATCAAAAAGTCTAATGCTGTGTTGAATGCGCACGCACAAGAGATAATCGAAAGAGATGCTCAATAGACGGGATGATAAACTTCGGCATAGCGTTTTTCCTTCTTTTTTCAGAAAATATGTCTATACGCGTAATAAAATGATGGCTCAATTCTCGCTTTATTATATATATATATATATAAATATATATATATATATAGGGAGAGACAAGAAATGAGAGTTTCTATTCAAGTCTTTTTCTTTCTCTACTTATAAAACAAATCTTTCCAAGTATCTATATCGTTGTCATTCATAGTAATGCAGTTCAAGCGAAAGAAAGTAGACTAGAGAGATAATGCTCTAATCGGGACACGACACTTGAAGAAATGGGTAGTAAGAATCTATCGTTTCTCGCTCTTGCAAGAACGAGCACGTCGTAGTCTAGTAATATTTTCCCTCGTTTTACGAACAACTCGTTTCTCTTCTCCTTCTTCTCTCTTCATCATAGAAGAGAAATATAGAAAAAAAAACTGACAACAGTAGAAGCACTACGATTAACGCACGCACACACACGCACGCACGCAAAACTCGAAGAGTATAATCGTATAACAATAAATTTTAAATCAATTCAAACGTCTCCCGATTGATTAATTTCCACAAGAATAATGTTCTTTACATTTATAATATTCTTTCTTATCATCGGTAAGAATTAATTCGAGGAAAAGAAAGGATATACTCTATGAATAAATGATGACTAAATATTAAAAAAAATTCTATTTATTTATTCAAATAGATTATTCTATTGAACAGAAATGTAATCGCGAACGAATACATACATGGAATGCTGAGCAAAGATTAATCTGTGATTTACTTGATAATTATCAAGTTAAATGGGGTCGTCCTGTACGAAATATGACTGAAGATGTTGAAGTACGATTTGGTTTACAACTTATTCATATAAGTGATCTTGTATGTTAAATTTCAAAAAGAAAAAGCAGAAACTTGAAAGAAATTTGAAAAATAAACTTTTTTCTTTTATATTTAGGATGAAAAAAATCAAGTTTTAATTACAAATCAATGGCAAATTTATGTATGTAAATATATTATATTTTTTAATTAGTTTCTATTTTTTTTTATTCTTTCAGGAATGGGATGATGAAGCGTTGACATGGTAAGTTTAATAGATAAGAGTTTTCTTATATTATCTTCTATTCATTTTTCAGGGATCCAGAAGATTATGGTAAATAAAGTAGATATAATTAATGTAAAAAAAAACGCAATTTTTTATTTTAGATAATCTCATGGATATACGTTTACCTATAAAACGCATTTGGCAACCAGATGTGACATTATACAACTAGTAAGTTCTTCATTAAAATCCCAAAAGACAAAGTCAGTTAAAGAAACATCTGCAACTCATTTTTCTTCTTTTAGAGTTGTTACACACACACACACACAAAAGAGAAAAGAAAATGTGCCTTGAGGATATCCGTTGACAGACTCCTAGAGAGAGATTATCATGCTTATTTTTTATAATATTAGCCCAACTTACATTTTGCTTTCTAGTGCTGATACACGTCTTGAAGAAAAACGTGAAGTATTAGCAACTGTTTATCATAATGGAACTGTCTTTTGGAAACCAATGTCAATTTTTAAATCTACATGTCAAATTGATATTCGGTTAGTTGATTCTATTTTTATTTTATAGATAAATATGTTTGATTTCTTAGACGTTTTCCATACGATAGTCAGAAATGTTCAATGAAATTTGGTTCATGGACATATGATAGTTCAAAAGTAAATTTACGATTTTATCGTGATATACAAAAATTTGATCTTAATTCATATGTTAAATCAAATGAATGGACAATTGTTGGTAACAGTGCATCACGTAATACAGAAAAATATGGTAAATATAATTGATGGAGAAGAAAAAAAAAAAAAAGAACACATTAATTAAATTCTACGAATATATTCGTTTTTTTTCTTTTTCTATAGATTGTTGTCCAGAAATTTATGTTGATTTAAAATTTCATATTCAACTTGAACGACGTGGTGGATTTTATAATTATATTTTAATTTTACCATGTGTACTTTTATCATGTCTTACATGTATTCTTTTTTGGTTACCAGTAAGAACACAAAAAAAAAAAAAAGAAATTATTAAAATTAATAAAATAAAATTTAAATTTCTTTTGTTTCTTATTTTCATTAGCCGGAAAGTCCATCAAAACTAGTTCTTGGTAAGAAAATAATTTCTGTTGTTTCTTCTTTTTTTTTTATTTCAATAATCAATGATTTTAAATTAATAGGAATGAATATCTTTACTTCATTTTTTGTATTGTTACTTCTGTTATATAAAAATATGCCATCAAATGCAGAACACATTCCACGTATAGGTAAGATTCTTTTTGAAGGCAAAAAACGAGATATCAATACTCTTTCTATTTTTATACATTATCAAAAAAAAAATGAATACTCCCGGAAATGAGACATTTGTCATGAACAAAATATTTCCGGCTCTTTACTAGATGAAAGCAATAACAATAGAGAATATGTCATTGTTAATATTCTATAGTTATGAATTTCAGCATAGTGACAGTTGTAAAAAAAAAACGTTTCTTGAGTTTATTAGATTGCAATCTAAGAATTTATGAAATGATAACAATTGAAAGATATGATTTTAACAATAATAAATAGATTTCTATGGAAATTAAGAAAAATCTAATAATGATAAATATAGATTCAAGTTTCTTAATCTTTTGTACAAATGATTAACATAGATCGAATTAGTTAAACAGTTAAAATATACAATTAAATGAAAAGCAAACATTCATTTACGCTGTTAAACAATCAATATTTACATCTGTGATATTATTAGAAATCTCGAGAAGTCAATAAAACTTCCCAGTGCTCCGACTCTTATATCTCCTTTACTGTTTAGAAGTTCAATTAGATCTAAGCAAGATGCTCTCGGGGGACCAACACTTTTCTTTTTTTTTATTAGGAACAATACCTTGTATGTTCATGTAAAACTTGCATCGAATGCTAAATTATCACGATTCATGTATTCTAATTAGATATGCACAAGATAGTCTCGTCACACAGTAGGCATTTTTCCATAGACGGAGCGGATATGTGTTTTTCTTTAGTTCGAAACGCTTTACCTTTTCTGCAATATAGCTTTATCATCTATTAAATGTCAATACAATTTGAAGAGGTCCAATCCGATAAAAATCACTTTAAGAGAGTGCTACCCTTTGTATATGCAGAGAAATTTTTTTATTCGAAGTATAAAGTTTTATCAAAGAAATTATAAACTCAAGCCTGAAAAGTTTACGTTAACGCTATATACTCGTGATACTGAACATAGGTTTCCGTCAAAGCACTCAATCTTAAAGAAACATGATTGTTTTTTCCAATCCCGAACAGATGGAAATGCAAGTTTTTCTTTTTTAATGAATCCATAGAATGAAAGACGCACTTTAAGATTCTATATAATTTTCTCACGGATATTTTTAATTCGCAATGAAAAAAGTCTTCTAATCCTTACCAGTGGCGTTTTTCGACGATATTTATGCCGGCTAATACTAACAAGGAGAATGAAGACTTCTACGTCATTAAATAACGCATAAGTCAGGTTATATATATATGGTCCTATTTAAATTATGAAAAATATATTTTTAATTTTTTCATCTAATCTCTATCTGGATGTTCATATAATGACTGATTTCCGTCATATCACATTTCAATTCAATGTAAAAAGAAGACATAAAATATCTTGTTTTTTTTTTTTTTCTATTATGTTTTAGGTGCTTATTATTGTTTAAATATGGGAATGATTGCCACGTCAACATTTTTATGTACTATAGTTGTACATATTTATTTTCGAGGCGCTGGACCGATGCCAACAATTTTAAGAAGAGTTTGTTTTTCTTTTTTTTTACAAAACAAAAAGAAAAAATTTTATTTTAGGTTTTTCTTGAATTTCTTGCTGGACTTTTTTGTATGGTACCACATACAAACGCATATCAACAACATGCAGTTAATGGATTAATGTCACCAATAAAAGCAACATGTGATGGTGATAAATTTGAAAAATTTGAATTACTTAAAGAACGTTTTAAATCATTTGGTGATAAACGTCCAGTAACATCAACAAATGATGATACATTAGAAGTATTAGATATGATGAATGATCATAGTCAACATCATCAACATCATTTTCATCCGACTCAAGATAATTCTATAGCACAACAAATTCAACAACAAATATCAGCATCAATTACATTTATGACTGTTGAAACAGATTTAAAAGAAATACGAGATTTTTTACGTACAACAAGAAAACGTATGGAAGATAAAGAAGCCAAAACAAAAACAATTAATGATTGGAAACAAGTTGCACTTGTACTTGATCGAACATTCTTTTTTATTTATCTTACAGCTATTATTATTTCTCTTGCTGCTATGTTTCCTCGATAAATATTTCTTTCTGTTTTTTTCTTCTTCTTGTAGTTCGAAACAAATTTTATTTTATTATTTTGGTAAAATATGAGGATAGAATGAAAATAATTAATAAATATAAACCTATTATTAAAAAAAAAAAGCCAACTATTGTTTGTCTTCGTCTTTGTCGAATTCAAGATGAAATAATATGGTTCTAAACATCCATGTTTTGTCATATAATATATAATCATGCAAGGAAGAGATTGATTAGTAAAGATTAATTATTTCTATGAAAATCTTAAGATAATAAGATTTCGTGAGTGAATCCCACTGGAAAATAATTCTTGCATGTAAGATTAGCGGAAAAGATCTTAAATTGAAAGGAAAAAACGTCATTTGTTATCATCAAATGTCAACATTTAGCCTCGGAACTAATCATTTTATATTGAAACATGACTAATTAAGATATTGTAAAGTTCAAGATGAAAGCTTTAATACCGAGGACAAGATCTGTAAAACAAACCATAGGTCTGCAAAATTCCGTGATGCCTTCTTCCTAGAGATCTTGGGGGATCATGAGCCAAAAATAGCCTGAAGTGTTCAAGCCTCCACGTCAACATGCATACTACCTTTTTTGCAGCTGACATTTTTTGCGACAACTAGAAACATATCTTGGTACTGGATTTTATTTTTCTGCGAAAAATATTGTGCTAAAGACTCAGGAGAAGCAAAACACTGAAGCCACTATAAAAAAAAAACCATGAAAAAAAGCTTTTTTTTCTGATAGTGGTAATTTAGTATAATCTGTGAAACTTCGTAGATACAATACTCATAAAAAAAAAGCACTTTTTGACTTGTTTAATATAAAATTGTGAATTTTTTTACATGCGCTAAGGTGGTTTTGTCTATTTAAAATGTACTCATTAGATAGAGAGCATTTAAATCTACAAAACGAACAAATCAACTGAAAATTTTGGATCGCAAACGGGGAGTCTCCTTAAAGCATCTTGATTGATCATTTCTTGATATTCTAGTAACGGCATTTGTTATGTATTAAACTATTCATACGAATTTTCACAATTGTCTATTAAGACAAATTCAAAATATGTAGATATTTTTAGATCGATTCTCAAGTAGACGTGAGTCGTTAGAAGATAATCCTCGAAATGATCGTTCAATAACCAACATTTCTCAACAAAATTTTGATACTATTAGATATCTAGTGAATGTTGAACTATGCATTAGTATTGATTAAATTGTTACCGTCTTAGATATAGATATCACATAAACTATCGTGATAACTACTTGAAGATATAGTTAACAACTTCCATTAGAAAAAAAAACATCATCAACAACAAATAGCATAAATTTGCATTATAAAAATGCAAAAATCACATATGCAAGATATTGTCTTCAATCTTAATTATCTTCAAGAGGAAGAACTTTGTATTGAACATTTGCTGTAAATCGATTAACAAAATGTTCTTTTTCTATAAATAAATATTCAAAGGTGACAGAACTCTTTGAATGTTCTATGAAAAATTCATTCTAACTTGATTTCCTGCTATTGCTTATTCTCAAATTAATTTCGTTCAATTGAAGAAAAGTGTTTCGAAAATGTAACAGCGTTACGTTTGAACAAGTGGTGAAACGAAGATAAATGCATGAAAGGATAGATTGAGATCGAATCTTTTACAAATAATATGATTTTTTATTTGATATGTTGTTTTTTTTTCTTCAAGAAAATAATTAAATATATAGAATTGAGGCTTACAATGAATTTCGAATAGTCGAATGAACTATTATTAACCGTTGTTGGCTGAATCAGTCCTGAAAACATCATGGTAGAAAGTTGAAACTTTCACGCGATTTGAATCTACCTGACACAAGACCAAGTTTAGAGGATGGAGATCTTAAGTATAGTTCTATAGAGTAATAGAAAAGTCTAGAATGGCTTAGTTTTTCAAGTCTTCGTTCTTCAGATATATTTATCGGATTGAATATGATTAGTCAGTCAAAATTAATAAACTTTGACCAATATTTTCAATTTATTTATGTCAACAGATCATCAATAAAACTATACAATATTACTTCGAAATAGCTAAATTATTCGATATAAAGTTCTTTATTAACCGCTACTAACGATAAATAAATAATTATTTAATAAGTTTCTTGAAATCTTCGACATGAATAATTCATACGGTCAGGTAAACAACGATCAACAGATATTAAATGATTACCACGTCTAAATAACAAAAGAAAAGTTTAATTATGTATTTTTGTTTGAATTTTATTTATCTTACGAGAGTCCAATAATTTTACATTCAGAATTTCGTTTAATTTCCGATCTAGCAAGTAATGCCATATATGCACTTTCTTCAGAAGGAATTTTACGATATTGGCGATTACCTTCAAATACTCGTTCGACTAAAAACAAAAGATGCCAAAAAAGAAAATATTAAATTCAAGTATTTCTTTTTTTTTTTTTTACATTCAGCAACATGAGTATTTTCAGTAAATTGGAATTTAACATCAGGACTTGGTCTCTAAAATATATAAATAATTATTTATGTATATAATCGAAAACGAAATCATTTACAGTAGATTCATTAGCTGTTGAAATAACTTGTATATCTGATTCCATATTAGCCATTTGTGAAAGCATTAAACTCCACTATTCAAAACAAAATCAAAATTTAGAGAGATCTAATTTTTAAAAAAATCACAAAAACTTTGAAATTTTGAGAACAGTTAGATCTTATCTATGAGTTACTGAAATCACACACTGTTTGAGATGAGTATCTTTTTATATTTTATCGCTACCCCAAATCAACAGAAAAAAAAAATATTCATCCTAAATGGTGTATAGTATATGTGAAAAAAAGTTTTAGCCTGATCGGATGTATTAGGCTAGAGAGACGAGAATGTTTCTATACTTTTTTTCATGAAAAGATTGGCTTAACATAAAGGGGATTTTTCAACGTTTGAACGCAATTGTTGGATTTGCAACATGTACTCAGTAGATAGATATTACTTCAGATTATACAATGGCTATACAAAAAACAAAGATTTTTAGTAAGTTCAGAAAACGGCTTAGTAGAAAACATTTTGAAAGTTTCAGAGCAGATAGATCTCAATGAATAAAGCAAAAGTTGTCATAGGCTTTGAGTTCTCGATAGAAGCTATTGGAGGAGTGCAAGTACGAAAACTTAGCTCCTTTATCTCAGACATAATATATCTGAAAGAGATAAAAATTTCTTTTTTTTACAAATATTGTCTACGACTTGGTTTGCTTACTTTTTATCTTCTTTCACTAGAATAAAAACATTAAAATCGTGAGAAAACCCTCAAAAACAATCAAATCATCATATTTTGAAACAAAAGTTTCAACTCGATTGGATGTGGAGTGATGAAAAAAAAAACGGGGATGCTGCTCCTTCACTTTTTTCTATGGATATGAGAACCTGTGAAGTCCAACATGAGAATATCTGTGTGATGCTTTTTATCTTGAAATTTATTTACGAGTCTATAAAATGATGTATTTTTGTTCTTTATTTAGCATATGAAGAATAAACTTGTCGCTATGTTCGAGTAAAAATATTTAACTATTTTTTATGATATTACTCAGAATTTGATAACGAAGATATTCTTTTAATGACTTTGAATCCGATAGAGTCGAAGTTCGATACAAGGATCTTCTAATTTGAAGAAAGCTTTACGTTGTTTCCTCCTAGATACGATATTACAATGTCGGTGTTATTACTTTGGGTAGATCCTAAGTATATATCCATCCCATTCCTGATGTCTATAGTACATACATTTACTAGGTCAGTAAAACTCGAATATCAAACTGAGCTACGAAAAATTTTGAATTAAAACTTTCATGTAGGGAATTGACAACATGAATTTATCTTTATTCTAAATATATTTAATTGAATTTTCTGCAGATAAAAAGAAATAGAACTCGATTGATGTTCGTCAATAATAAATAAATAAAAAAAAAAGCTAAGAGTCTTACCAATTCCTTAAGATATTGATCGTTTAATAAACTTTGTTGAAAAACACCAGCAAACATCATGCGTGAATTTTTTTGAACATAAAGTACTAATTCGTCTTGTACATGTTCAATATTTTTATCTGATATATTTGTCCAACTAACTCGTAATTCATGTCGATCACTTTTTTGAAAATCTGCAATATTTAAATCCGAAGCACTTGTTACTGTTACTGTTCGATCACGTGAAGAAGTTGATGGTGTTCGATGAAGTACTTGAAATTCTCCAATATGATCATCATCATCATCATCATCATTACTATCATCATCATTTTTATATGTATCAACTTCTACTATGTGAATGCGATCAACAGTTTCACTTGAACTATTAATAAACTCAATTTTGACTGTTTTTTCCATTTCATTACTCATTGTTGATGAACGTGAACGTAATTCTAGTTTTTGTTCATCAGTTAATGATTCTTCTTGCCAAGTAGGTAATGCAGAACAATTGGAATTTTCATTAGAATTCTAAAATAATAAGATATGTATTTTTGGAGCAAAAAAAACAGAAATAAAACAATAATAACCTGTGTATGAACTTGATTGAAATTTTCACTCATGGATTCTGATGATACACTTCTTGCATCTAAAGCACTAGGTGATGATAATTCATCCATTGTATCAGTTTCAAATCCTGTTTCTTCAGATGAACCAGAATAATCTGTTGAGAGTAATATTCCACGACGTTTTCCACTAGTCGCTGATGGTATACGATTAAAACTATTAGAACGACTTTCTGATGTTAATGAATCAACTGATGGTGATGATAAATCACGAAATATATTTATTGGTTGAGTTGGTATTTTGGGGATAGTACTCGCTGACATCATAGTATTCGTAGTCGTCGGAGTAATTTTATCAGGAGTATTTTCAATGGATGTTAAATTTGATGGTTGACGAATATAAATACGAAAAAGTGATACACCATTTTTCAATTTGAATTCAGATTCCCATGGAATATGAATTAAATTTTTCTACAAAATTTTAAATTTTATATATATTATGAATTATATAATTTTAATTTGTATTAATCTCGTATAATAATTTCAAGCTTTAGAATTTGAATGTTTTTCTCAGTGAACAGTGAGAATAATGTACCGGATCAACTTTTTTCGGTTATGATGACGACAACTTCTCTTGTAGTGGTTCTCGTACTGATTGTGACCTAGATCTCGATCGTGGTAACTTTTGTATTCATGCATGGCTATTGTCAATAGAAGTCAGAAAAAATGCCTAAATTGACATAGCTTATCTTATTGAAATACTTAGTGTTGACAAATGGCTTCCAGCAAATCAATCATTAGTACACTATTTGAATAGAAAAATGTTAGCTCGTGTATTCGTTGTATTAGAACTAATTTTTTGCTTCTATTTCGGGTAAGTTTTGTTGTTCTAAATATCGTCTATACTCAATTTACGGATCTCAAAAAAGTCGATTCATATCTCTTAAACCTTAAAGATCCTTTAAAAATGTTGAATTCATATTCGAAAAGAATATACAATTATGATTCTAACTCAATATTTTCAAATTTCTACAGATTCTTTTTAAGAAACTGAAACAATTAACGAACATTCGGTCAAATCACTTTTCGATAACTTATTATACCAAAAAAATCGAAAATAATTTACTTACAGGCAATTGTTTTCTTAATTGAAACATAAGTTGTAAATAAAAAGTTGTATCAGAATCCCATGTTGAATATAGAACTCTATAAAGTACATGATTTTTTAAATTTATTGATTTATTCATATGACTTACTTATTGTCATATCCAATAAGTCCATCTTTTAGTCCATATTTCGATTTGAGATAATCTAAACAATGCTTGCTTTCTAACAACACTCTTTGATTACCCTATAAATTTCAAAAACAAAAAGATATCATATATCATATTCGTCTTTTATATATCTACATTTTTCAATGCTGTATATTCGACAGTTGAAAATAAATGTGATATTGATCGATTTTGATTACAAACATAATCCACAATAGGTGTTAAGGCTTGATTAAGAAATTCACCCATTTTATTATCTTTTCCATAAATCTAGAGAAAAAAAATTTTTTTTTCATAGTTTTCTTTCGAATTTATTATTTAATATATTTATTTACCGATTGTACATGATTCCATGTTCCATATAACATACTAAATAAATCTAAAATATGTTTAAGATGAATTTGTCCTTCTTCTGGTGTATAACGATCATGTGGTAGAGATAAAAACTAAATAAATGAAAATAAAAGAACATGTTTAAATAAAATAAAGTAACAAAAAAAAATTCTTTACGGCACTATGTCGACCATAATGTTCATGTGCAACAATTGTTTTTTGAAAATATAATGTTTTTGGTATAGATTGAAAAAGATCATGTTGAAAATATTGTACAATACCAACGATTTCTCCACAGTCCAGAAGTTTCTAAATTTTTAAAAGATAAAATAATATTTTTGAAAAAAAAACTAAAAAGGAATATTATACTTGTTGTCTTGTTTGATCATCTCTTGGATAGAAATATAAAATAGCTTCAGGAAGAACATCATTATCATCTTGTGATCCTTTCATCAAATAAAAATCAAATATGAAGAAAAAAAAATTCGGTTTTGTTGCTTTTGATGCCATCTAGAAATTGAGATTATTGATTCTTGAAATTTTTTAAAAAAAAGTGAGAACACAGCACGTGATATATACTCTGCATGCTTTGATAAAACGAAAAAAAAAAGAACGAAGAAGAAAGAGATTTCACTGCGACCTTTTCTATTATCTGTCTTGTGCACTACTTATGACGCAAATAAAAACTACATATTACATAGACGAGTCCAGGATTGTGCATGATTTGTATGACAAAGCAAATTTTTGTTTAATCAAAAATATCTTCGATCGATTTATGTAGAAGCTAAACAAATTGAATTAGTTTATGAAAGTGTCATAGAATTAGCGAACAGATGCAAGAGAGAAAAAGCACGAATTAAGTACGGTGGAATATTGTACTTTACTCGCACTTTATTCGTACCTCGCAGTACTGACTTCGCGCTTTTCCCCTGTGTTATGATGACAGTGAATACCTGTTGATAACGTAAGAATAAAAAAAGGTTTCAAAGTTTATGACATGCAAAAAAAGGTGTCAATAATTCGTACGAAAAGTTTTGAGAGATCAATCCGATAATATTGGTTTATTAAGAGAATTTACTTAGTTTCTAATTTAATATAGTTGAGAAATTATTTGTTTAATAATGAAATGTATTTGACGACTAAAAACATATAAACTGATAATTGATATTCAGTTGAGACTAAGCAGAAATATTCTAAGAAAAATTCGACTGTTATATTTGATTATGTAATTTCTACTTTTAAGTTCTTATCATTTTTCATAGTTTTCGGGTCGTAGTCGCCTGTGCATCATTCAGCTTGATAGACAGTTTTGTCATTATCTTCAAAACTTTTCTGTAAGAAAAATTCCATGAAACATTCGTGTATTCTATAATCATATGTTTAATTGTATCGGTTTTTGGTTCATCTACTAGTAAACAAGGCAAATAGGTAAACATTTCAAGAAGATGATCGAATATTTCTATTTGTTTTACTGATGTTAGATTCCATATTTCCTATGATATGTGTATATCATTAAGAAAAGAATATAAAAAATGAACTTCGATCAATTCGAATCTTTTCTGTCGTTTATGACTTACAACATGTCTCTACTGAATATATATCGACAATAACTATTATTGAATTTGAATTACTGATAAAACATATATACAGTACAATCTCTCTTCAGTAAACACTCTTGGGACTTTTGAAAAGTGTTCAATTTTAAGAGGTGTTCATCTATGGAAAATGTTATCTATTTTACTACACTATGAAGCTAATTTTCAGAAAATAAGCATATTTACCAGTTCTGAGGTAATTGAAGAATATATTCTGTTTAGTTTATCTTTTATTTAAAGTTATTCCAAGGGAAAAATTTTCACAAAACAAAACATTTAGCTTTATTTCAAAAAGTTCTCTATGGTTGTTTGTCTTTGTTTTTTTCAAATCAATAGAAATATCAATCAATTTTGATTCTGATTTCTTTCATAATCTTGTAAAAATTCTTTTTTTGCGTTTTAATATATTAGATACAGAATCAATTGAAATCTTGTATTTTTTGGCTAATTTACGTTGTGATAAGCCATTATCACCACCAGTGGCGGAGCCAGGATTTTGAGCTAGGGGGGGGGGGGGGGGGCAGAGCCCCCGAAAAGCTTTTTGCCTGGGATGTGG